TAGTCATTAGGTTAGCTCCACCCATCTACTACTACTTCCCATATTACAGCAGACATTACATAGTCATTAGGTTGGCTCCACCCATCTACTACTACTACTCATATTACAGCAGATATTACATGGTTAGCTCCACCCATCTACTACTACTTCCCATATTACAGCAGACATTACATAGTCATTAGGTTAAGCTCCACCCATCTACTACCACTACCCATATTACAGCAGGTTTTGAAACAGAACATCAGAAGAAGTTATGGAAGTTCTCCATTTAGCACACTTGCATTGTTGCTAAAGGCACATGAGCTGTAGACCTACACATGTTTTGGACTTTAGTCTGAAATTTCTGAACCAAAATTTTCAGAGCACATTTGATGCCACTCTCCAGGGCATTTCTCATTAATACTTGATACTGATTATGAGTACCAGATTCCATTACTCAGGTACTCAGTTCAATTGTACAACCTCAAATACTTTTGTGTGGAAGTTTGAACTCTTTGCAGATTTCAAATGCCTGAGTTTGACCTTTCCAACCCTTCTGCTTCCAATTTAGCTCACCCTGGTGATCCTGGTGCTGAAGGCAGGAGTGACACATCTGGACACCCTGGAAATTGTTGTGCTGGCCGTAGGAGTTTGCTACGCAGCCATGTGGTTTGCATGCGGTCTCTATGCGGTGAGTGGATCGTACCCAAACCCTCCCCTAACAATACTGTACAGAGTGGTATTTCGTTGTACAAGTGGAAGTGATGTCCCTATATGTGGTAACTGCAGGCATTGCTAGGCTTTTCATGGGCAGAGCAGTTCATTAGAGAATTGTGCACATTTTGTGCACATTTGAATGTGCACAAAAATGAGAGTTTTCTATATTAAGTAGCACACATCTACCTCTTTATGGGTGCAACAAGAGGAATGGCCCTACAGAATTCGGGTGGCCACACAAGAGCCTAATACATTCATGGTATGATTTGGCATGGAATGCCGACAACTCATTTTCAGATGAATGCGTCCATCACAAGACATCTGAATGGAGTGTACTGTCCGCCTTGAGCAAAAGCCCCAGGGCTCGAAATTAACGGGTGCAGGGTAGCTAAAGTGCACCCCTTTTTTTCAGAAATGCACCCGTAAATCATAATGATGGGCACAAGTACTTAAACACCCGTTTGATTCCATGTACCAGAACATTTTTACTGTTTGTTTCTACTTTTGTCATGAAACATAACAACTCGATCAAGGCTTTAATCTCTGCTGAGGTCTAAGCCGTAAGTTGTCAGTGTCATTAATTTAAACAAAAGCAACAGCAAGGACCATGGTCTTTGTTTTTTTTCTTGAACATACACTATGTCTTTAATATTGTATTGGAGCTACAGTGCTTGCTCCCATAAAGTGACAAATTCAGCTGTCTGCGGAGCAAGTACTTGGTGATGATTAGCCCAATTTTGAGCCCTGAGCACCCATGTTGGTAGGGGTGGTCATGTTAGTAGCAATGCGACTGCAACATGTGCATTTCATGGTCATTTTGTGAACCAGCGAAGTGTAATTCCTACCAAAGGAGCTTGTATTGCTGGGAAATTTGCACCCTTTCTTGGTCCAGCGCAGGGCTCATAGCATGACTTAATTCCAACACTGCACATTAATATACCCAAGTGAGCTTCCCCACTCAACTTGGTTTCCAGGGTACTGGTCCCTCTGTTGTCTGCACATAAAGTCCAATCGAAATTCGAAGAGGGACTAAACTCGAACATTGATGTCATTTGGGCCAGGAGCTGCACTTGTTTTGTCAAACTTTCCTTTGCAGATGTACGGAGAGAACAAAATACTGGTGTTCATCGTCCTGGCTTTCAGTCTGTTCGAGCCGGCCTACATTATCTACAAATTCGTGGACGTAAGTGTGAGATATACACAGCTGAATAAGGCAGCTCAACAATGTTGCTCACAAGCAGAACATCTGATTAGATGCAGTCAATATCTGTTGGACAATGGTGACCAGGCAGATACCTGGATACATTAACCCTAACAGCCCCAAGTTCTCCAATTTCAATACGATTTTTTCATACGCCCTAGGGGGTTAGGGTTAATATGTAAATCCATATTGGTAATTGGGGGGGAATGGGAGATGGGGAAAGGTAGGGGATGACTTGCCCGGCTATGGAAATATGGAAAGTGGGGGGGGGCGACACCATATACACTATAGAGGAGGCAATATTTGTGATGAAGATGTAATGTGTATCAAGTGGGAAGCGGACTTTGCTGCAAATGGACCAAGTGGGAAATGAACTGTGTGGAAGATGAAGTGTGGGGAAATAGGCTATGCTAGGAGTGATCATATGGGAAATGGACCGTGTTGGAAATGGAATTTGCAGAGAAGCAAAACTGGGAAAAGTAATTGCCTAATTTTTGTATACTACGTTTTTGCATTCCCCCCCCTATCAATGGTCTGACAACAGGTGGGAATGGATTGGAAGACCCCCACTGACAACAGACTGGTTCCGGCCGCCATTATCATGGCCGGTGCACTCGGCTTACTCGTGAGGGCTGCCCTCTGCTGCTTCCTGATCTATGTCTATCGAAACTTCGGTAGGGGCATGAGGGAAAAGGGTGAGTGGAAATCAGTAGTGCCTCCTAGATGGCTTGGTGTAAGAACATGTCACAGGATTCATGGTCAAGGCTGCCCTAAATCTTCCCTCATTGGAAATGCACAAGCACAGGCCATCATTATTCACAGCCCTACTCTGGCAGCATACTTCAGACATGGCAAGCTTCTTCTCACTCGAGACAATGTGGGTTGGGTGTCTCCGTCTTGCAGGGCCAAGTCAAAAGTGGTTGGAGAATTTATCAAAATGACTTGTAAATGGGCTAAAAGTTGGAATTGAAACGGTCACGACGTTTTGTGTGAAGAAACCGAAAGTGTGAAGAGAAATTCTTGCTTGAATGAGAACGCTTTGTTTTTGTGGAGAAGTCAGTTGGCAAGTTGTTTGTAAAGAACAGTGGTTGTTACAAAGTTTGCCTCCAATACAATATTGGCTTTGCCATTCGTCATTGTGCGAATGTGAGGCCCAAAAGTGGGACATTTTGGGGTTTCTTTTACACCTCAACCTTGTTTCTGTTACACCTTGTTTGTCTGAAAGGTAATTTGCATTACCTTATTTGTCACTGTTAGAAGTAAAGAAATTTAAACTTAATAAAAAACGATTTTAAAGAATGACCCAAATTCTAAGCACAAGAGCTCATACAACCAGTCCTAATGAAATACAAAAATCCAAATGCCAATTTTTCCCTAAAACGTTTTTGTGTAAGCAGCAAACCCGTAATGGCATACTTCAGTTTTGCTTCGTCCTTCCTTGTAAGTCCGAATCCGTCCGTCCATCTGTCGGGGCATCCGTCTGTCCACACAGTTTTTTCACAGTAACTTGAGAAAAATTCCAAACCAAGTTCAAACCTGGTTCTTGGGTTGGACTTGGAGTCCTGGAAAAATCAATTTTGAGCCCCATAGTTCAAAGGTCACGGTTATTCTGCTTCAAAGAGCAGAACTGGTTTTCCCAATTTAACTCCAGCTTCATAGTTGGTATGCATGTTATGGGTTTGGTATCTGGAAGCTTGTTGATTACGGCATCACACATGTAGGTAAGTGGTACATGTAAATTACAGTGTTGTTAGCACAATGTTTACTTTTGATCATAAATTCAAGTCGGACTTATAGGAATAGGCTGGGGGGTATTTGTGTTTGTTAATACGTCATGTCTGTATTGTCCATGCAGCGTACGGCAAAATAGGAGGGGAAAGTAAGGCTTCACCCACAGCAAGCACCTGAGATGCCACAGGTAGTGTACCAGCCAGTACTACGTAAGAATAGATCTCAAAAAAATTTTACTGAACACCATTTGATCTTTGGATACCATGGAAAGATGAAGGTTTTTTTTAACAGCCGTACACAAGATAAATTTTATAAGGAAAAGGGCGGATCCGTGAGCGGGACCAACATGGGCCAAACACCTCCCCCCCCCAAAAAGCAAAGAATTTGTTTAAGGGGGGTGAGAGAATGGTATGTTTTTGTCTATTTCTCTTCCTTCCAAAACCGTGCAAAGTCCCCAGAATTTGGCTTCACCCCCCCCACCCAAAATGCTATAAAAGGTTACCTGTAAAAATTTCCAAATTGTCTGTGCCCCCCAAGTTTGGCCGCCCTGAAAAATTGGCTCTGGATCCGCCCTACGGACATATTGTATATATCTGTCTTCCACTCCTAATTCTAAACACTGTATGATGTCATGTTTTGTTGATCCCATGGAAAAGTGCCTTATTTCATCCGTTCAGTATTCCATTGCTTCAGTTGCGTCCCTGTTACGCGGGGAAGACACCGTTTATTTAGACATTATTCACTAGTCCAAAATTTTCTAGCTAAAATGTGTATTTCTGGGCAATGTCCTCCCACTTGCCACCACTGAATCTACAACTTATCCCACAAGAAGAGAAACTGTCACACAACAAAACATCCAAAATCCTGACAAGTCTTTCACTGAAATAGCTGCTCCTGAAATAACATCACACTTTTTTGCTCATGAATATGCATGCAACATGTATGTAAGCTTGAAACCCGTAAAGTGTAAAGTGCTGTTAAAACTGGCAAAACGGAACATAGAAAACAAGGTGAAAGGGGACAAAAAGCTGCGTTTACGAGGTCTAAAAAATTCCATTCCATGAACCCTTGGAAATATTTTGCACACTTTCTCAGTGACCTCCCTAGGGCAGTAGCTATGCTGGCCGGCGCCGGCCGGTGTTACTACCGATCCGATCAACAGTACCTGTCGGCACTAGGGGTGAAAATGAAGCTTGCCGGTCAGCATAAATTACAATGTATGCTACAGTATTGCAATTTTTGTTAGTGTTGAGAAAAAAAATAGGCTGTTATTATTTTTTAAAATTACCAAAAACAACCAGCACTAAAAACTTCCTAGCTACAACCCCGGACCTCCCTAATGCTCTGTGTAGTTCTTATTTATGGTTCAACATGAGATTCAACGCTGTACAGTGGTTCCGCCCCTTCTCCCGAAGTGCATACACATTCCATGTTTCTCCTTGAATTAAGCCTGGTTTCCTATGGTCATAAAGAACGCCACCGCAGACATTCGTGGAAGAGATGCTGCGTGACGTCATTCTACCAAAGAAAAAATAACAAACAAAATGGCGTCCAAAACTCGGAAAATATTTGCATAAAATGCCTTTCTTAGGTGGTAATTTCGTCTCTCGAAGCCAAAAACTGATACTCCAGTTTGATTTTTTTATGGTCAGCTGTTTTGTTGACGATTTGGACTGCATATGTTAATAATAAGGAGAAAATGGACAAAATGAGTGGTACTGAGCAAAAGGAGCATCGCGGTTTGCCCGTCGTGCCAGCGTGCGTGCGTGTTTGTATTTGTCTACTCAGCGACTTGACGCAGACAGTCGGCAAAGTTGAACCAGGCTTAACTTTGCTGATCCGTCTTGGGTTTGCGTATGTCTGGGTCATTAGCGACACTTCATTTGACATGTTTCCACATGCCTGCGTTGCAGTTTGCATCTTGATTGCTTTGCTCTCTGCATTTCTTACGTCGATATAGAAACCAGGCTTTACAGTTGCACTCATGGCCCTGATGAAAACTAAAGGGTAAGAGATTGGTGCTCTGTTAAAATGATATTCATTGTATAAAAGCTGGTCCTTGCAGGTTTCACATGTGTGAAAGTTTATCTCCCATTCGATGCATACTCTGTGTCAATGAGTAGACCCCCGTCCATCCCCCCACCCTCACCCTACTTATAGACTGTACGGACGGCCTCTTCCCTCGCAAATCAGTTGGAAGTGCCAACGCTCCCACCCCATTATTGTGGGTTTTAAAACTTTTTCAAAGTTTGTTTTCATTATGGCCAAAAGAACCATGCCAAACTGAGTTTCATGTCAAATGGGGCCCAGAGTACTTACGATGTCCCTTCTAATGTGGCAAAAACATGACTTTTTTAGGGGTGAGGGGGTGAATTGTCATATAATCCCTTAAGTTTATCTGTCCGAGTGGACGTGTACTTCACACAGTAATCCCTGAAAATCGCTGGTGTTACGCCCAGGATATGCTGAATGCAGCATCTGCGAAGGCATTCATGATTACCAGTGGGAAGTGTCGAGTATGTTACCAAAATAATTTTTAAGGGTGTATATACAGTGTTGGCATTTGCCCTGTAAGACGACTATTGAGTATGCACCCTTGTTGCCCTAAAGGGTTTTTTTTTGGGGGGGGCGGGGTGGCAGTGCTGGGAGATGGATCTGCTCCTTTTCGATGCGGTTCATCAAATTCAAGGAGAAATCCGTAAGCGGGCCAAGACGTTGAAGTTGAATGCATCTCGAATGTTTGGATCCGCTTGAGAACAGAGATGTGTTGTGGCTGTTTTCAGTTCACGCTTGAAAGTGTTTGAAGACAAGAAGACATTCTTGATGCTCAGAAGGCCCAAGATATTTCTTTCCTTTCCCCAACCCTGGAATTGTTTTGGTTTTAGTATTTTTGTTTCAAGTTTTCCTCTTTTCGATGTTTCCCAAACCTTTCTGATGTGGAATCAACATGCTTGGTTGTAAGTCAAAAGGAGAAGGGGTGTTGGTATATTTAATGTGGTCCGGTATTCCCTATTGGTTGGCTGGTGTATCGCTTAAAGGAAGGGATGCAGCAATCAGTTTATTTTGTGAATCGTTTAAGCTGCTCCTCGGATCTCTTTGACCTGCTAGCAAACACTTCTTACAATCGGTCACCCCACAATACACTTTAAAATAATATTAATTAAGCACGATAACAATTTTATACTCAGTTGTTATTAATGTAGTTTTTAAGTATGTGTGTTTTTATAATGATTTCAGGATGCTTATGTCTTCAGAAATGAAGCAGATGGCACAGAGTGTAAGCAGATTAAATATTTATTTTATAAGATAGAAAGTTTTCATTGTTAATACAGCATTGACAGAAAAAGAAGACCCTCATTTCTCCCATGAATGGAAGGAAAAACGAGAAATCTAATCTCGTTAAGAAAAATGATAATCTCCAACGGTTAAACCTCAGTTGAAGTTTTGTACACATGAGTAATTATGACGTAAGTGCTAGTTTCTGTATCCGTCTACATTAAACATTTCTGGGCAGAAGTATTTACTCAACAATAATATTGACTTGAAATAAGTTGTAAGTAGCTCAAAAATAGGTTCACGTTAATGTTTTTAGTGCTTTTCCCGAATTCACGTGTCAACATACATGTAAATAGGGATGGAACAATCGTTTTTGAAAAACTACAAGAACGCCGCACTTCGGCCCACGCACTGCAGCAGTGGTTGGTAGCTGGTGAGGGGAGGGTCGTCACTCGTGCCTTGTTGCAGTTGCCGCCCTAAGGTTCGATTCTGGGTGTGGCCACGGGTTCTGTGCACGTTACCTGCCTTCATAACATTGGCAAATGCAAACAAAAATGAAACGTGATTCGTGAGTTGTCACATAGTGTGCCTGCTGTTCCTACTGATATCCACAGAAAGGTTAAAATTGTTAACTTCCTATTTTATATTTATCCGGAAGTCATGCCTAGACAGTGACATCACCTTCACGCCCAGGTGATATACGCGTTATATTCCTCTTCGACCGATAGGGCGTCACCCCCAAAACTCAGTGAGTTTGCGCAGGCGGCTTTAGGTAAAGAACGCGCACGTGAACATGGTGCCCATCTATAGAGCTATTAAGTTAGTATGGTTCTTTTCTTGTACCACCGAGGCGTTTCCTCGGATTGTGTAGGTATAACCTAGACCTTTACTGACGGAGATTTACCCAGCAACGTCACTTAAGCCAAATGTCTTGCAATACATGTAAAATATTTCTCGTGATTGGTGCACTGCTGATTTACATTTTTTTTTCTTCAGATTAATTTCTTGCCTATTGTTGCTGAGCTTCTGTGTTGATTAAAAGCACGCTTAGATGTATCCCAGTTGTGTTTTTGTGTGCTTGACGAGGGAACTTTACCCAAGTCTAGTAATCGTTTATTGCTGCATGGTAGGAATCAAAGATTTCATATCTAGTTATGAATGGACATATCACTCAGTGCATGTGTTGGAATACACGTGCCACTTTAAATTCGTAAACACTGAGTTGCAAGACGCAAAAAGTTCCCTCGTCAGCTATGGTCTGATATCGATACTCTGGTCGTAATTGTTGCTTTATTAAGATACACTCTGTCAGTTTCCACTTTTGCTATAAACCTCTTTTTTGTACGTACTATCTAATACCGGTGTGTCACAATAGTGCGCCTCCAAGAGTTTGCCATGCGTTGGCCAGTCACAATGTGCGAAATCCGTCTACCCTTTCTAAACACGCACTGGGTCGACAGACTTCGCACACTGTGATTGGTCAACGCGTTGCAAACTCTTGGAGGTGAACTCCTGTAAATCGCCGGTATTAGCGTGGAAAAAATGCTAAATATAAATTAGTTAAGTCGAAACAAAGTTAACGCTGGATGTAACACTTAAAGTCTCCAGATTTTTACATATTTAATTTTTCTATCAACTAAAGGAAGCTTAAAATGTTATTATGTAATACTGAAGATTTGTATAAATTGTGTACATTTCCTGAGTACTCTCAATAAAAACATAAGTTGTCTTTTTCGTGCAAAATTAGCTTGACTGTTGTCACGTGTTACGATCATCTGTCAACTTACCCAGTTGACTGTACAAAGTAACATTGACATCTTGAAAAAAGTTCCCTTTAGTTTCCAACGCTAGGAAGCGTAGTTGCTCCTCTGCTGTTGGCAGTATGCGCATTAATTCCATTGATAGCCATTT